TGCCATTTTCAAAAGCAAAATTACCTTTTTACCACCTCCCTCTTGATAAGATTCTCAACGTGCACATAAATATCACCACATACGAAATCACAGAAACGTTACGTTCACTCGCAGTGAACAGAAAGAATTGACTGTTATTTACACTGAAACCAGGATGATACTCAAAGAACACGATGGGCTTCAGAGAATCAGATGGATCGATCGACCTTCAGGGTACCCGTTAATTTTATTTTCCAGCAGTAGTTTAAGGGTATTCGTGCAGTCACCTAAAGAAAGCTCCGCGACTGAAATCTACTTAACAATGTCTTTTGATGTTTCGCTACAGAGCAATTCTTTATAGTGGAGTTATAAATATCCAGGGAAGGAGCACATTAAAAAGAAAATACTGAAAACCTTACGTTTCCTGGCCTTGGCATGTGTTGCTTTTGATCTGCCTGAGCCACGATTGCTTTGTGGGCCCGAGGAGCGCGCGCTGACCAAGGGCAATGTACGTCTGTGAATTTTTCCTGAGTGCACGTTTAGCCCTGCACAGGCTGAACCACACTGGCAGGATCCAAGACCTTCTATGCATTTGCTGTGCTGCTCTGTACAACACGGGAGGAATGCTAATCAGCAGCTGAAAGGAAATGTGGACTTTCAAAGAAGACCCACCAAAACGCAAAATGGGACTATATATTCCCCTACCAAAATGTCCAGCAGAACTGGTGAGTCATCTGGAAGCAAATAATTCCCACTTCTTTCTCCCCTCCCTATGATTTCTAACACAGAAAGAGGGGAAAAAACGGGATAGAGAGCCTGAGATATGCATAAGAAAGATCAGTCCTTGATCCTGAGCACAGACAGCTTGAACACATCTCATCTGATGCAATGGGAGAAAAAGTGAGTTTATTTATTTATACTATATTTTCATCCTAATTGGCACATCCCGCCTCCATCTAGCTGTGCTGCTCCACTTAGGGAAACACTGAGCCCAAGGTAACCTAACAAGGTAACAAATCACCAGGCAGCCTGTTTATTCAGAAACATCAACTGCTTTAACTCCTACAAGCAGAGGAGCAGGAAGGACACCCATCCCTCATCCAACACAAACAGAAAGCACAGAGCAAAGCGAGCAGCATAACCAGCTAGGGGATTAAATCTCATTTAGAGCTTGTGCAGGCTCTCCCCCCTCTTCTCACTGCCTTATGAATGCCTTTAGCATCCCTGGAACACCTCCTCCTTACGGTGCTGAGCCCTCGGACATGGACATGGACACAGAGGAACTTAGCAGGGAAACTGGCTGTCAGGTTAGAGACCAGAACAGCTCGGCTGTAATTGTTAATAAAAATCTAAACTGTTCAGCATCCCTGCAAAAAAACAACCACCCCAAAGCTTCCTGCTTGCTCTGAACAAGGTCTCTTTATTAGGAGATTTACTTTTAATTTTGAACAGCTTCGCAGCATTATCCTTAGCAGGAAAAAAATAAAAAAGAGCCTGGAGATTTTTGAGCCATTCAGTCAACTGCCTGCTGGAGTTTCTCATGGAAATGAGCTTCTCCGAGCAGCATCGCAGGAGAATTGCTGGTGTGCATCCCTAACCACCAGTCATTTCACATTTTTAAAAGATGGACAAAGTGCTGATTTCGTTTGATGGAAAACAGAAAGTCACCACTGCTGGTGGAGAGCCTTAATATCAGCATTTCCCACTGCTCACACTGCTAAGGGCACTGGCTCCTAGTTTCAACAGCTCACTGGCCCATCCTGGTTTTTTTTAAAAAAAAATTATTTTATATGGATAAAGAGTGATGGTTCCCATCTCAAAAAACTCCAAAAATTTATTATATTAAATTTGTAAAATAGCAAGCTGAATCCAACATTCAAAATTCTTAAAACAACACAACATGGAAGTATTTTACTAGAAGACAGAAATTTTGACTTGATCCAAAGCCTAAAATTTAACTTTTTTTTAGAAAAAAAAAAAAAGCAGCTATAAAACCCAGGACCTTTTTAAAGGAAGCAGGAAAAAAATACTTGTTCAGATGCTTTTTTGATCCTACTTTGAATGGCAAAAGTTTATTTTCATTTAGACATATTTCTACGGTACTGGAAACTGAAAAGAATTTCTAAACAAAGAGGGTAAATAAACTGCCTCATTTCATTATCTCCAGGAGTAAAATGCCAAAAGCAAACAAAAAACCACCTGTGCCTTTCAACTGCACCCTTTATGTCACTGCAACACGTTTCTTCAATTTTGTGCTGAATATTCCTGGAATTGATTTCTCATTCTTTCTGGCTGCCTTCAAACACACACAGGGGCTGGCACCGAGGCGAGCAAACCTACCAGCATTTGGATTTCTGAGTCTGATGCTAAAAACCATGCTTTAAAATTTCTGCTTATTTTCTTCAGATTACACAGTTGTGTATTTGGAAGGTCAATTTAAGACTGCTGTTACGAGGGAGGATTTCCTGGTCCCTTGCATACTTATCATCCCTGCTGAATTGAACTCAAAGATGCACCTCCTGCAAACAATTCCAGCAAATTCCTCTGAATGTGACCCAAAGGCACCTCTTAGATCTAAAGAACTAAAGAACCACATTAAGAATATTTTTGTTTTCTATCCAATGTGGGAAAACACAAGTGTAGCTAGCAAAATCAAAGTCATTTACAGATTTTCAGTGTTGGTAGCTTCATTTT